TGCATAGGCTGGTGTGCTTCTTCCATGTGGGCTTTGTTGCTTCTGAGCTTGATGGCCGCTTGATTACCTTCAAGCCTTTAAGACCCAAGACGCTAAACTTTTTGATAGGAGGAGGCTGAGATTTCATCTCAAACCTGTAGACATGTGTTCAAGAGAGACCAGTCCCTGGAAAGGGACGTCATGCTTGATTAAGTGGGGGGGCATTACGGAAGAGGAGCACTCAATAACCTAGACTCCTCACACAACGGCTGCACCAGTGGACTCGACGTAACAATCGTGTGCCCGGCACAGGACTGGGCAGTGTTCCCTTCCATCGTGCACAGGGTTGCTTCAAGCCAGAACCTCCTTGGCAGCCCCTAACAACAACATGAGCATGCTCCTGTAATTATTTGCAAAGCCTTGGAAACCCCACGTAGTAGACTTGCTATGAGTTGGAATCCACTTGATGGCAGTGGGTTTGGTTTTGGGGGGACAGACAAGTAGGAGGTGAAAACCTAGAAAGCACTTGGTGCAGTTGGAGGTGCTAGTCTACCCAGAGGTGCTGCTGCGGAGAGGCCTGGTGATCTGCTTCCCAAAACTCAGTCATAGAAAAACCCTGTTGGTGACCGTTCTGTGAGTAGTCAGTCACCAGGAGCAGGGATCCAAAGCAGTTTGTGGTGGTGGATTTGTCAGAGATAGATGGCCAGGCCTTTCTTCCAAGGTGCCTCTGAGTGGACTCAAACCTTAAATCTCATCAAAAACTCTATCGTTTTCACACCCAAAATTTAAAAAAAAATGACCATGGAGTCAATTTTGACTCATAGCCACCCTGCAGGGCAGAGTAGAGATGCCCCTTAGGGGTTTCAAAGGCTGCAGATCTTTACAGGAGCAGACAGCCTCCTCCTCCCACTGAGCAGCTGGTGGGCTTGAAATGTGATGATTCCAGTGTCGTCACTTCCCATGGCCACAGGGGCCAAGGTGCATGAGGAGAAGAGACTGAGCTGATAAAATTATTTATACTACTATAATTATTGGTAAGCAACTACCACTTCAAAAGGTTGGGTTTCCTGGTTGCCTACTGCCATCAGGACTCCTGTGCATTGTAAAAGGTGGCCTCCCCTTGACCTAGACTCACCCCAAAGATGAAGTGTTGGAGGAGCTTCACGGTGCTCTCTGTAATAGGGGGGGAGGGGGGAGTCATGGGTCTGCCACTGAACTCCCTAACCTTGGACAAGCTTCTAACTCTGCTGGAGGATAATTTTGGATCTGTTTTACAGGAACACTAAGTTAAATGAAGGCACAGGGCTTGGCATATGAATTCTTTGGGCTGACAATAATTTGAGAAGAGGCCTTATCAATTGATAATTCCCGAATAATACTTCACAGAAAACAGATCCCCAGCAGGACAGTCTCTTCCTTAGAAGTCAGGTCTCACCCTCCACCTGGGAACTAGAACCTGGAGAGCCAGTAGCAGGTTTTTCCAGATAGCTGCTTTCAGAAGTGCAGGGCCCATTCCATTGTCCTTAGCCAGCAGGGCGATATGCGCGCCCCTCCCAATCTCCCCAGGCCCCTCACGCCTCTTTGACCACTCCCATGAGTTTGTTCTAAACTAAAATTCCCAAGCAAAAAACAGTGGGAAGTAAACTATGTGCTCTTATTTCTAATCCTCAAGAAGATCATCATTCTCAAGTCTACCTCCCAGAGCAGCTTCCCCGCTGAAGAAGGGTATCAAGGTGAGAATGAAGTCGCCACTCCCACCGACAGGATGCAGCCTGAGAGAGGGAGGGGCCTGTCGTGGGCAGCCCATTCTAACTCAAACCCATCCTCTAGGGCAGAGCACCCTGGCCCCATGGGGTTGCCTAGGCTGTAACCTTTCTAAGCGCCCTAGTGGCTTGGTGGTTGAGTTGTGCTCATTGCTGCTAACTGCAAGGTCAGTGGTTCAAGACCACCACCCTAAGGAAAACCATAAAGTCGTGGGAACCCACACGAGGAAATTCTACTCTGGTTGAGGAGGTGGCCATGAGTCAGAATTGAAGTGACGGTAGCGAGTTTCATCTTCATGGGGACCGATCACCAGAATTCCCTTCCATACCAGTGATCTCTCAGCGCCTGGCTTCACGGCTGCACCCCCAGGGCTTCTGGGTAGAGGGGCGGGAGACAGCAAAGACCCCCTCGTGGCTCTGGTTCTGTGATGAGAGAAGACAATGACTTCCTAAGAGTTGTTTTCAACTGTGGTCATCTGCAGGTGGTAGCATTACGGGTAATTCACAACTTTTTAAAATGATTTTTTTGGTATTGTTATAACTGTCTACAATGACTGTGTATCATTTTTAACATCATAAAAGGGATTGGGGGGTCTTCTATAGTTACAGAAGCATTTTGTGCTCAGCTCACGAAATCTGGAAAGCACAAAGAAATGCAAACCCCCTTCATCACATCCTATACAGACAGTAGCTCTTAACACTTGGGGATATGTCGCCTCAGACTTGTATCTGTATAGAAATACTTCATTTTTGTAATCTAGGGAGGAAAAAAGCAAAACCTTTAAAAGACGAAACTCGGAGTCTTTAGTTTTCAATTTTATTTGTTTTTAAACAGCATCTAACGCTTGGAAATGTCCCTAACAACAAGGACATGCCCCATGCACTCCCCTAGGCTGCCCTACCCAGCCAGGGCTGAGGGCCGGGCCCACCCCCTCAGCCATGCCCCTCCCCACACACCAGCCACCATGTCCATCTCCCCCCAGGAGACTTGGGAGAAGAGGGTCTCCAGTCCGAGGGAAAGCTGGACCGCATGGGAGGACTGGGCTCTGACACAGCTGCCTTGGGTAGTCTTGGGAGATGGGGGATTTGGTAGCATGCTCACAAACTGTGGAGGGCAGGGAGAGGGCTCCCGGACTCCTCTCTGGCCTCATTCCTTCCTGGGCAAGCCCCACAGCACCCCTTCTTGCTGGGCCTGGCTGCGCATGGCCTGGTTGGTTGGTGTGGCCTGGTCAGCGGCAGGGACAAGGGACGCGGGGCGCCCTCTTCTCCTGGCCTCCGCAGGGTGGGGAAGCAGGAGGGTGATGACAACCAATTCAGACCTGAGTGCCCTGGGGCTAGGATTTCGCCTGTGGCTACCCCTTACTGACTCTCACCCAGAGGAAGATAACACAAGGGCTTTTCTTGTGACTCAGAGGGGCAACCTTGGGCTGGGCTGGGTCCCCAGGCTGGTGGTGGCTCAAAGCATGCACTGAAGCAGCAGGGATAGCTCAGCCAGGAGGGGAGGGGCCCCCAGAGCTGGACCTCCCTTTCCCCCATACCCCTCCTCACTCATGGTAACCACGGAAATATAACTACCGCCACCCCTCCAGCCAGCTGCCTGGGTTCAGACAACCAGGCCTGGAGAGCCCCCCTCCACCCAGCCAAGGCCTGGACTGATGCCAGGCTGGCCACAGAGTGGCTGCAGGAAGAACTGGGATTGGGCGATTCGGCAGATCTGGCTTCCCAGCCAGCTTGGGAGGGCTACCACAGGAGCCTCCATGCTGGGCGGCTGGGCTAGGCTGCCCCAGCTGCCCTCTGCCTGGGCTAACAGTTACTGTGGGGTAGTAGCCCCTGCTGCAGCAGCAGCAGCCTCTGGCCCTCGCTGAGGGGGCTCTCCGGCTGCTGCTCCTCCGGTCCAGGCCGCTCAGCCAGCGCACTGGGGCTAAGGATGTACCGATAGTCACTGGGGGTGCCCCCTACTGCTCTCAAGCCACTGCCATCCCCAGCCCCCTCAGAGGCTTGCTCCCTGCCAGGCAGGCCCAGGCCACCTCCCTCAGCGGGCTCCTGGGCTTTCTCCATGTTGATGTACAGGGGGTCCTGGCTGGTGGACAGCACGGACAGGTGGCCCAGGATGGTCTCCAATTCCATTCGCAGGCACGTGAAGCTCGGGCGCTGCTTAGGGTCTGCGTTCCAGCACTGGCACATGAGCTCGTACCTGCAGCAGTGGGGGAGGTGGGGAATGAACACCCAGGAGAGAGAAGAAGGCTCCTCCCTCAAATGCAGACGCCCCACCACCATGTACGTTTTTATTCCACGCCTTCACTTACGGGGCTGATGAGGTGTCAGGCGCTCTCCTGGGAGTTTTACATTTATTAAACCATTTGCTTATCCTTGTTTTGCAGATGAGGAAATTGAAGCACAGAAGAGGTTAAGAAACTTGTCCAAGGGTCAAAAATCCAAACTCTGCCATTGAGTCAATTCTGACTCACAGCAACCCTGTGTGTAGAACACCTGCCCCTGTGTGCTTCTAAGACATGAACTCTTTATTTTTTTATTTTTTTGGACATGAACTCTTTATAGGAGTAGAAAGCCTCATCTTTCTCAGCAGAGCGGCTGGTGGTTTCAGACCGCTGACCTTGCTGCCACTGGCAGCCCAACCCCTAAGGATTGTACCCCATCCCCACTCCGGGCTCCTTCGACCAAGGGAAGTAGAAAAAGATAAGCTTTCTGAAGCCAGGTGGGTGCTCTGCTGCCCCCCGGAACAGGTGCTCTGGAAGGGGTTTCCCTTGCAAAACACAACCTGGAGTTGGGATGCTTTCAGTGGGGTGGAGGGCTTCAGGCAACCCCCCTGTGCTCCAAGTCCCCATCAGGCAGAGCCAATAAAGCAGTCTTTAATCCTCCATCGCTGGAAACCCCTTCGAGAATCTGGGAGATGTTTCCAGCGCTTTTCCTTGGCACCAAGGTGTTTTTTATTTACAATTTTAAGGGTCTTCACAGATGTCCCGAAGCCCGGCTCTGTTCTTGGGGACTGCCCCAGGCCAAGGGACAAAACCTACTGTTGAGGAGGGGCTGAGGTCATGTGCAGACAGAGAAAACACTGGACTTCCTTGCCTGGGCCCTCCTCTGTATGACAAAAGCCCCAGGCACCACCACACACCAGCTCTCCTGGCAGGGGCCCCCAGTGATGGGGAGTCATGCCAGTCAGCGAGTGAGCCGTGGGAATGGTCCTCGGCCACAAGCCCATGGCCCAGCTGGGACACATTCTCAAGGCTGTGCTAGGAGCCAACTGGCACCTTGTCCACTCTCTGTTGGCAGCATTAGCTTCAGCCTGGGAGGCTGCACTAAGGCTTGGCCCCCGCTGCCAGGAAGAGCCTCTGCAGCTCCCGGTGAGGGCCCAGCCACACTGCAGCTACAGAAAGCCCTGTCCCTATGCCACCCATGCTCTGCTGATGAATCGTCAGGGTGGGACCTGGTTCCTTGTGAGGTACTGGTGTGTCACCACAGCCTGGGCTCAAGGTGTTTCAAAGCCACTTCCCTGCCGAAGGATAACCTCACCATTCAGTGGACAGTCCACCTGACTGCCCTCTACCTATCGGGGACCCAATCCCACACAAAGAAACAGGGAGCAGATGCCCTCCTTGTGCTAATGAGAAGGTCCTCTGGGGGCTCAGGGGCACCCTGGCTTGGTGGGGGTGAGGGGATGGGGATGGGGACAGGGGCATCACAGTGGTATGCGGCTAAGAGCACTGAATGGAGTCATGGGGAGCTAGGCCTTGGTCTCCATTCACCCACCTGATAGCTGTGGGACCTTGACTGTGTTACCTAACCCCTTTAATCCTTTTCCTCATCTACACGATGGGCATAACAAAAGTGTCCCTCCTTGGGTGACATGAGGATTACCTGCAGTAATCATGCCTGTGAAGTGCCCAGCTCATGGGAGTCCTGCTTACTGTCACCTGTCACAGAGGCCTGGTGACCTTGCCATAGAGGCTGCCTGCATCTCCACATGCACACCGGACGATGTCAGGCTTCCAGAAAGGAAAGAAGGCAGCTTCCTTGTCTCCCCTGGGATCGGAGTTTCCTGTCTTAGGTCTCCTGCAGGCTCTCACTCCCAGCCCCCCTTCCTGCCAAGCAGGGAGAGGATGGAGCAGCACCGACAGAGCTTTCTCCCAGGGCCTACAGGGCCGGCTCTCGCTGCCTCGGAAGCCGGCTGAGTCCAGGAGGTTGTTTCGGATTCAAGCTAAATCCACACCTAATGCCAGCGGGTCCGTTCCAACTCAGCTCACTGCCTTCAAGTTGATTCTGACTCACAGCGGCAGAGTGGAACGGCTCTCGGAGGCTTCCCAGGCTGTAAGTCTTTACCACCGCAGACAGCCTCCACTTTCCCCCTCCGAGCAGCTGGTGGGTTTGAACTGCCCACCTCTCAGTTCACCGCCCCCAATATTTCAACCGCTGTTGGTGGAGACAGTGTGTGTGTGTATGTGTGTGTGTGTGCGTGTGTGTGTGTGTGTGTGTGTGTTAGCTTCACTAACTGGGGATCTAAGGAAGAAGGTGGGGGTGGACAGAAGGTGACGGGGAAACCGTGCTCCTGCCCAGCCCTGCGTGTCCTGCCCTGGGGGTTTCTGGCTCTTCCTGGAAACTGGAGAAAGGTGACAAATGAGGGCTAGCACACAGTGCGGCGGGGCCAGCCCTCCCTCCAAGTCTGAAGAAACCCCTCCTGGAGTAGATGAACGGAGAAGGAAGTCCAAACGTGGCTCTGAGCTCCCCCTGGGCCACGAGCCAGATCCCCTTTCCTCCCGGGCCGGCACTCACACGTCCTCCTTGCACTCCGGGGGCTGCTTCAGGCGGTTCCCGCCGATGAGGTAGTTGTAAATCTCAGCATTCTCGATGCCAGCGTATGGCGTCTGCCCACGAGTCATGATCTCCCACATGGTCACCCCGAAGGCCCACTGGGATAAAATCACAAGTGGAGGTGTGTCATGAAGCTTCCTTGACGCAGCAGAACCAGGGCTCTGCTGAGGCAAGCAGTGCTCGGGGCTCGGGGGCCGCGGAACTTGGTGGGCAAAGCCAAGAATTGACCTGGTCAGGCGCCAGAGGCCCCAGAGTCTCCCTGTGCCCCCGCTCACCACGTCACTGTGCACGGTGTACAGGTTGTCAGCCAGGCTCTCCAGGGCCAGCCACTTGACGGGCAATTTGGAGGCACAGCCCTGCCGGTAGTAGTCCCCACTGTAGATCTTGCGGGAGAGCCCAAAGTCAGCCACGCACACGGTCATGTCTTCTGCTAGCCTGGAAGGGTTGTCGCAGGAAGTGGTCAGCTTCTCTCCATGCCACGGCCATCTCAGAGCTGGGGTCCCCTCCTCCCAAGATGTCCCCCTTTGTACCAGACCCAGTCCCAGGCAGGAGCTGACCATAAGCAAGCCCTTCCCATACTGCAGCTCTCTAGGGTTCACATACATGCAATTCCGTGCGGCAAGGTCCCGATGGATGAAGCTCCGGGAGCTCAGGTACTCCATGCCACAGGCAATGTCCACCATGAACCGGACCAGCGTCTGGAGGGGCAGGTTCTGGTGGACGGACAGGCAAGCTCAGGCTGGACCTGCCCACCCAGCCAGAGCAAGATGAATAGGGTTTCCTAGTCTTTAGAGTATCCTCAGAATGACTGAAAGGAAGGGGAAGGAGTGGGGTTCCCAAGGGCAGGAAGCTCTGTGAGTGACCCAGAGCTCAAGAGCCAAGACACCCCGCTCCCTCGAGTCTCCAGGGCTCTCTGTGCCCAGGAGCAGCTCTGGCCCAGCCGAGAAGACCAGTGGGACCTGGCGAGGGCACAGCAGAAAAGAAGTCCCACACAGAGCCCTCCTGCTCCCACTCAGCTCCATCATCTGCCCTCCTTCCGAGCCACCCTGAGCCCATAGTCCTTTCTAGGACTTAGTCCCCAGCCATGTCCCCTCAGCCACTTTTACCCAAGTACTCACAAAGGGGTTCTCCCCAATTCGGGAGGCGAGCAAGAAGGCATGCAGGTCCCCGTGCTTCATGAAGGGCAGGATAACCATGGGGATGGGAAGACGGCCCTTGGCCCTGCTCCGGAGGCTCACCCCTAGAGCCAGGGAGAGTTCAGAACTGTCTAGGGGATGGGTCATCCCTTCCCACCAGCTCGGTCCCACCTCCAGCCCTGGCTCTGCCGCCTGGTGGCTTAGGGCTACCCCGGTAAGTGGTAAATTCACACACACATTCACACACACACACACACACACACACACACACACACATCTTCCCTGTCCCCTCCTCCTAGAGAAGCAGGGGGCAGGCACCACGCAGGCCTTTGCCTCATCTGAAACCTAGATGAGTGTTGGCTGGTCTTCTCCTGATCTCTTCTGCTTCCATCTGTTCACTCACCAGGTGGGTCCCAGCTTCTCACCCCCAAACTGCGCTCCCCCCTTGTGGGTGCTGATCCTGTATCTGCTGTCCTCCAGAAAGGGGCTCACCAACAAGCTTCGCAACGTGCGGATGGTCAAACTCCTTCATGCAAGCTGCTTCCCTGAGGAACTCTTCAATGTCGCTCGAGGCGATGATGTCCGCTGAGACCGCAGAAAGAGTGGGAGAGAAAGAGGTGAGACCCCCAAGACCCTTAAACCTCCTCTTCGTGATGGACGTCTTGGCCCATGAGACATTCTGGCCATGCGTGTGCATGGGAAACCTCCGAGGGACAGTGGCTGGCCAAGGACTTCTTCACCTGCTTTTTTTCCTTGAGCTCGGAGAGCCCGGCAAATCACTCAGCCGGAGCCTTAATCACCGGAGAGCGTCAGAGCACAGTGACTACTGTGGGCAGAGAAGAGCGGCTGGGGCACCGTTAGACATGAGTTCTTCACGTGGTGGTGCCAACAGCAGCCCGGTCGATGCTGACTAACGAGCAGCTGGCTTCTGGGTCAGCGCCCCCTTCACCCTCCCCAGGTGACGCCCTTATCCCAGCCGGCTGCTCTCCACCCACCTTTCAGCATCTTCACGGCCACTTTCACAAAGGAGCCATCGTCCTGCTTCAGCTGGGCCTCCCGCACAGAGCCAAACTCTCCTGGGGACAGAGCCAAATGACGGGGAGTCCCCTCGGTCTCCGGGCCCCACCTTGTTTCCTTCCAGGTGGCCTTCCATGGGTGCCACTGGAAGAGGGTTCCCCCCCCTTACCCACAGCCAAAGCAGAGCATGCTGGGAGTGGCTCCTCAGTCTTCTCCATCCCCCCTAACTCGGGGGGAGGGAGGATATCTACCAGTGCATTCTGGGTATAGCAACTCACCCGAATCCATACCCTCAAAGCGACTGGAGGAATCACACGCACTCAGACACAGCAGACTTGCCAAGCCCACAAAGTCCCCACGCACCTTTGCCTAACATCCGGCCCAGGGTGAACTGCTGCTCTGGAATAAGTACGTCTTCCAGTTTGTCCTTGAGTTCGTCGCTGATGCCCAGGCTGTCCACTGGGAAGAGGCGGCCGGTCAAAACGGGCAGTGGCCCTCAGTGGCGAGCCCCCAAACCCAGCCGACCTCCTACATCCCAGACTCCACCCTCAGAGCAGAACCCGCCTGAGCTCTCCCACAGCTGGGAAAGGCAACCCTTCACGAGGGTAGGTTTGTGTGTCTGGGTCTCATCAAGGTTCAGACACAGTGGCCACATTTAGTTCTGTTTTTCCTCCCATGATCCCCCGAGACTCACATGTGGCTTCGATGCGCTCAGGCCTTTCCCGATTGAAGGACCGGGCTGCCCGGAAGTGAACTGCCGGCTCCCCCCGGGCCATAACACTGTCAAAAGCTTGCCTATAGGGAGTCGGAGGACCTGGATCAGAGCCAAAGCCCTCAGCCTAGGCCTGCCTCCCCTCTCTGCTGCCTCTCCTTACCCAAACCGGGTCTCCTTCCGCCTCTTTCGAAGCAAGATAAGGGCCAGGGCAGCAGCTGTCACCAGGGCTGTCAGCACACCCAGGACCACAGGCACCCAGGATGTCCGGCTGTGCGGAGGGCCCTGCTGGCCTGGGGAGGGAAGAGCAGCAGCCTGAGCTAAGCTGACCCCAAAGAGTCAACCCCTCAGACTTTCTGAGGATGTCCATCTGGTGTGGTCAAGCCATCTGGCTCCTCTAAGTCAACCAAGGTCCCTGAGAAGAAGAAAGAAGCTCCAAAGAATGACCCAGGAGAGACTGGCGTCAACAGGCCCAGGCTACTGTGGCCCCACAGCATGACTAGCATTTCCCTGTTGCTTCTGGGTGGGAGAGGCACGGGGCAGGGGGGTGGGGGAAGGCATGGAATGGCTAGTTTAATAGTCATCCCTGGTTTCAAGCACTGGGCCGATGAGGAGGGGAAGTCTTGCCAGCCCCTCCCACCCACTGCTCTCCCTTTCCCTCTTGGCCTCACCTGCATGGTCATGAGAAGAGACCACCAGGGACTGGCTCCAGGGCCCACAGCCCACGGCGTTGGTCACACACACGCGTACCGTCAGGTCCTTCTGGGGATCCCAGCCTGTCAAGTTGACACTGGTCCCCTCCACCGTCAGCTCATGCTGTAGCCGGAAAAAGCCCACCCCACGGTGAGCCTCGGGGCAAGGCCTCAAGCTGGGTCCTGCTTAGGAGTATGGAGTTGTGGGTTCAAGAACCACCCGAACACAAGTTGCAGGGACTCATCACATTCCTGCCCCGGCTACAGAGAACTCTACTGAGATAAACAAGGCTCCCTCTTCCAGGAATGCAGAGATGGGGAGGGCAGAGCCAGGCTGGAAGAAGAAAGCCTTATCTGTGCCCTCCCCCGTTGGTGCAGGAATGTACTTCCTGCTTGACATACAAAGTGGCTACAGGGCTCAACCCTAACTTGAGACATGACCCAATAAGGAGTCCAGTCTGGGGGAGGCTAGGGGAGCCCAGGCTCGGCAGCTGGGAAGCAAGGAGGGTCATTCTGCAGCTCTGCTGGAGCGTGGACGCTTCTAGGGCCCCTTACCTGGGTTTCGTTGTCTTGAACCCAGGACAATTTATAGGGCCCCAGGGGATCTTCCATAGAGCCTTCTGGGATCACTTCGTCCCACTCCAGGACGAGGCCTGAGTCTGTTTGGAAGGCATGGAGGTTTTGGGGAGCGCTGGTTGGGGCTGCATTCAAAGAGAGAAGGTGGCTAAGACACCTGTTCTTCCCACCATTGTGATCCCATCCGGGCCTTGCAACCAGCTCCCAAGAACCAAAGTCTTCTCCCCGCTCTGACTGCACTACTCACTGTGCTGGGGAGGAGGGGGAAGCAACAGGCAGGACCAGCAGCACCTCAGCTCAGCAGTGTTGCTCTTCATCACCATGGTTACTGCCTCATCCCTCATCCCTCAGCACTCCCCTCTCACACAAGGAGGCCACATCAGGCTCCTCGCAGTGGCCACAGGACACCAAGCAAGTTCCTACCAGAGGGTCCCGACACTCGCTCACAGCCCTTGGAGCAAGTCCCCCAAATGTTCTTTTCCCTGGTGACCTCAGGGCTCCTGGCGAGGTTTTCCTTGACCACCCTGAGGTGTCCTTTATCCCCCGCACCCTCTGATCTGCCCTCGCTTGTCTTTTGTCTGTTCCACCCACTAAAAGGACTGTGTGTGGGTGAAGGAGTGGGTTTCCCGTGTCCACTGGGTCTGCAGCAGGTGTGCAGTTAACCTGTGTTGAATGATGCGGGATCTTCCTTTTCAGAAGGCAGCCCCTTTCCCATAGACTTGATCCAGAACTTCAGGCCCACATCAACACCACCGCCCTCCCTCCTGCCCAACCACTCTGCCCAGTAAGTCCCTTACCTACACCCATTGTCCGAAAAGGGACCCAATCAGCATAAAGAGAGGGCCCCAAGGCATTGGCACAGCGCACCCTGAGGCTGTAGTTGGTGGCAGGAGCCAGATCCCGGAGCAGGCAGGTATAAGGTGGTACAGGCACCACGACAGCCAGAACCTCCCGGCCTCCTAGGGCCTGCATCACCTACAGAAACACAGAAAAGAAAAAAAAAAAAAAACACAGAAAAGAGCCACATGGAGGAGGGTCTGAGACTATATACAAGATGGGATGGGCGTGTGTGTGTGTGTGTGTGTGTGGGGAGGATCCTTTGGATTAAAGCTTCCCTCGGGCAATAACTGTGGCATTCCACAAGCACTCATTAACAACCTTAGATAACCGTGAAGCACCTACTAAGCAGATCAAATTCTACAGCTTAACCTTCAGTAGAGATGACATCTCAATCTTACGAAACTGAAATTCCTTCCAACTGGACTGATAAACAACATCATCATGATGAAGATACAAAGTTATGGGGAATTTCATTTTACTTGAATCCAGAGTCAAAGCCTGTGGAAGCAGCTGTTAGGAAATAAAAGGATGCATTGTGTTGGGGCAAATTTGTTGCGAAGAACCTCTCTGAAACACGAGAAAGCACTTTGAGGACTGAGGTATGCCCACCCAAAGCAAGACAGTATTTTTGATCGCCTCATTCGCATGGGGAAGCTGGATGGTGACTAAGGAAGACTGGGAGAATGGATGCCTTTGGACCAACTGGTTGGTGAAGAACATTCAACATAGGATGCTGGACCTGAAACAGACAAGCTTGTCTTGGAAGAAGTACAGCCAGAATGTTCCTTAGAAGTAAGGACGGCGAGACTTCTCACAAGCGGTAGACGTCTACATCTTGGTAAAGGGTCAGCAGAAAACAGGAAGACCCTCAACAAGATGAGTTGACACAAGAGCTCCAACAATGGTCTCAAAGACAGCAAGGATTGGAAGGATGGGACAGGATGTAGCAGTAGTTCTGAGACACAACTAGGAAGCCTAACAACCAATCATATTCGAGCTTAAATTCTGAGCACCTAGTTTACAAAAGGCACTAGTCAACAGTGAAAACCCCAAATCCTTGTGCAGAGTCCCCACTTGGATTAAGCCTCCATTGAATTCCCCCATGCCATTAACCAGGAATGGAAACCGTCTTGCCCTCAGGCAGAGTGCATACCTCCAAGTGGCGCGGGAGGGGGGGGGGGAGCAGTCTCCTGCCTGGGTGTGTCCTTGACCAAGACTGGGATCACTTGGCCATAAACCATATCCTGACTGCCTTGGCTGTGGTTGGAGGGCCCAGGACCAAGCTTCTGCTTAACAGGACTTACCATCGTCCTGTCCCGCTTCTGTAGTTGAACCCGTGACTCTGTTACATTCTCTGCCCACAGTCACATCCTTCTTGAGTCTCTGTAACTCAGCAAACCCTTGGACACCATGTGACCTGCCTTTGTCCTGGTCTCTGTCCTGTCTAAGATTTAGTAAATTATAAGCTTTCCCTAAACTATACTTGAGATCAGGGGGCCCATTGTACCTAAGACACAACAAACACCGGCTTGCTCCCTCCCACCCTCGCGTCCTCTCCAGCCCGGCTCCAGTCACACGCAGGACCCTTGTGGCCATGCCTTCACAAGCCATGTTCCTTCGCTTGGACTCACAATGTCCCGAGACTGTAACTGTAACCTCGAGAGTAGAAAATCCAGTCTTTCTCCAGAGTAGCTGCACGGGTGGCTTTGAACTGCTGCAGCCTGATGCTTAACCATGACACCACTAGGGCTCCATTTGGCTCAGTAGGACCTGCTTTTCCTAGCAATATCCTACTCATCCTCTAAGACCGAGTTCAAACATCACTCTCTCTGCGAAGACCTTTCTCAGCTTCTCAAGAAAGCATGGCCCTTTGTACTGGGCGCTTAAACTCTGGGAGAGTGCGTACTGCTTAATTTTAACTGTTTACATGCCAGTCCGGAGTCTCAGAGCTTCTCAAGGCCAGAGAAAGTGTCTCACTCACTTTCACATCCTGATGACTAGACCCATACTCCCCCTTTACTTACATTTTGGTGGCCTCGGGCAAGAGTACAAAGGCAGGCCCAAGGACCACGTGGCTAATTAGTTACAGACTCTTATTTAGCTGCCAGTTATGGGAGTTGACTTTGGGTCGTAGCAACCCCAGGTGTGTCAGGGTAGAACTGTGCTCCACAAGGTTTTCCATGGCTGATTTATCAGAAGCATATCACCAGGTCTTTCTTCTGCGGCACCTCCTGATAGATGGATAGTCTCCAACCTTGGAGTGGGCAGTCACACGCATGACCATCTCTACCATCCCGGTACTACTGGACACCAGCTAACATGCTTTCGGATCTAATTCTCCACTGAGGAGCCCTCAGGACAATCTGGGGGACCCAGTTTGCATTTGTAACTCCAGCCAGCAGAGTGTGATGGCATAAGCACTAGGCCGCCATAGAGGACCTGCAGTTGCTCAGGTGTGGACAAAGCACCTGGATACCCAAGTCCCGTTCCAAACATCCAACAAAGGGCTGCTCCTGGAGCTTCTTGGGAAGCTGGGCCCCAGGGTGGGGGGTGGAGGGGTGGAGCCACAGAAGCCCTGAAAGAAAACCCAGGACAAGAGAGCCTGGGTCCCTGGCGTAAGGAGTGGGGGTGAGGGGTGCTTGGCACCTGATGGGCACATCCCCTTGCCCTATGGACGCCTTGCTGTCAAAGGGAGGGTAAGAACAGGGTCCTCTAACTGGTGGAGGGGCCCCTCTTGCCCAGGTCTAATGGCAGAACTGCCTGGACCAGTTCCCAAAGGTGCTCACTAAACCATTCTGAGTCAACAGGTGAAAAGAGCAAACTGGCATTGTTTCTAGGGTCCCTTTCCCCAGCTCCCCCGTTCTCCTCTGAGCCTTGCACTCCCTTCTGGTCCTCTGGTTCTTTCTGATGTGATAGAAGTTGGGCAGGGCGGGAGAGTGCAGGCAGCAGAGAAACCAAAGACTTGCGTGTTTCCCCAGGTAAGAAAAGTTCTTCCTGGGACCCCAGTGAGCTTCTTCCAGCCTGAAGAACGCAGGAGTTCAAGCCTACGTCCAGGACCATTTGGTCAGCGGAGCACCATGGGATAAGACGGGGTGAGATGCAGCTCCTGCCCTGGCCCCAAGCTGATCCAGGCTAAGTGTGAGTCCACTGGCCACACAGACCATGGATCAACATGACTAGGCCAGGTGGGCTTACCTGGACTGTGCAGGACTGGAGTCGGGCTCGGCCATCGGCACCAGGCGTCCAGCTGACGCTAGCATTGTGACTGGAGAGCTTGGTCACGGTGATGTTGGAAGGGGCTGCAGGCAGCTCTGAGGGCGAGGACCTAGAGTGAGTGCCCTGGAGGCTCCAAGTACCCAGTAAGGACTGGAGAGGACGCAGTGATGTGGGAGGCGTGGGGGTTACGGCTCGAGTCCCTCTCCGGGTTGCAAGGCATCCCAACCTAAATATGGCTACTCAGCTTTCAGGACCCCAAGATGCACACAAGCCAAGCAGCTGTCCACACCTGCCCGAGGCTGTGGAGAAAGGTCACCCTCCCCCATTCAGAGGCCCAGCCAGACTAAGGAAAAGGGTAAGATAGTGACTCTCCAGGCTTGGGAGACTAGGAGGTTCCCTGAAAAGCCCTGGCCAGCTCCTCCCACACTGGACCCTCTCCCTCCCTCCCTCTCACCCTCCTGCGGTGCACACAAGGCCTTCAGGGGCCCCTTTCTCTCCCCACCCCCACTCCCCCACTGCCTCCACAGGGGGGTAGCCAGGAACAGTTGGGCAGAAACCTTGACCAGCTCCTGCTGGCTGGCTGGCTGGCTCCTTCCCTCCCTCCCTCCCTCCCAAGGACTCTGCTTCGTGATGGGAAATCTGCTGTGACGTCAGGTTTCTATTCTCATCTCAGCCTGCCAGGGTCTCAGGTGCTCCTACCAGGGTCGGGAGACATGCCAATTAGCCCCTCAGCCCAGGATCCAGCAGGACCCAGGGGCGCTGGACATCATGCAATTCTAACTTCTCCACCCACCTACTGCTAGACAGCTGGGTGGACACTCCCCCACCCCCCACCCCCCGTGGGTGCCCTCCTACCTTGAAGATGAACAGTGGCTGGGTGGGAGGAGGCCAGGCCTTTTAGGTTGTGAGCTTCGCAGGAGAATACAGTGCTCTGGGTCACCCCTGACGCCAGAAAACCTCTGTCAGCACCTCCTGGGCAGCCCTTCCCCTCCCCAGGCTGGGCTGGGGAGAGGGTTACTCAGGTTTGCTCCTGGAGGCCCCCTGGACACTTTTCCAGGCCAAGAAGGGGCTGCGCTATACTTCGGAGTGCTAGCCACAGTTAGAAGCCCCCAGCTGCTCCTCTGGAGAAAACTGAGTTCTGCGCTCATCAATATTTATAGCTGCAGAGATGGAAAACAGGGGTCCTTCCACCCTGTCCTATAGGGTCGCTTCGAGTTGGAATCAAATTTATGGCACTGGGTTTGGGTTTTTTTTTTTTTGTTTGGGGGGTTTGTTTATTTTTTTGAAGAGTATAATGGGCCTGAAAGAAATCTCAGGTTGGGACTCGGGTTTTCTCCTCTCTCAAATGGAAGGAGGCCTGGTGAGACTTGGGGGACGTGGTGTGTGCAAAGTGCAGGCAGGTCCTTGGGGGACGGTACACCAGCTTGCCCACTGCACCAGAGGGCACTGTGCCTGGCCTTTCTGGCCACTGGCCACAGCGCCCTGCTCTCCTGCGTTTTGCGAAAATTTGAAAATTTGCTAGTACTGAGCTCCCAAAGCTGGTCTCCTCTCCTCAGTTATCTTCAATCCCTTGGGGGCGGGGGACAATGGCTTCCATTTCCTTTGTCTTCCCCCAGCTCCCCCGTGGTGCCTAGCTCAGTGTGAAGTATGGAGTAGGAGTTCGGTGAGTGCTTATTATTGGGCAGGCTGCCTGAGGGTCCAAACCACGCACATCTGGAGGGAACTGAACGCAACCCCACCTCCTCTCCAATTTGTTTCCATCCAGCGCTTCCCAGACAAAGCCTGCCCCCTCGGCCCAGGGTCTGCTTCTTTCCAAGGGTGGGGGAACTTGACAGATCCAGCTCCTTCTCCCCTGCCTTCTAACTCAGGAGCTAAGTCTTTCCTGCCTCATTCAAGCTTGGAGCCATGAACTCTATTTTACGGGTAGGTGAGCCTCACAAGTCTGCCCGAGTGTCATGGGCTCAGGGGTGTGTGAGCAGTATGGGAAGGTTTGGGAAATGGGCTGGAGATTTCTGGGGAAAGGGTATTAGAAGAGGAGGACCCTGGGTCTGAGTCTGTGCTGGCCTGAGTCTGCTCTTCCAGGAGTCTGTCAGATTCTCCTCAGAGTTTCCCAGTGGGCTGCTGTATGGCGGCTCCTTCCCCTGGGGGCGGGGGCGGGGGTGGGTGGGTGTGAGGTGCCCCAACTCAAGCATCAAAAGTCTGGAGCCTATTTCCAGATGGCCCACTTGCCCAACTGCAGCGC